CCCACAAAAAAAAAAAAAAAAGAGGTCATGTCTAGCATCAAGAAGGCATGAAAGCCTAAAAATAAGCTTCCCTGGGACCAGCAGTTAGCATAATGGCTATGTCGCTGGACTCCCGTGTAGTCGACTGCGGTTCGAGTCCCAGACCCGGTGGCTTGAACTCACACCGGGCGCGTGTGTGTGCGCGTGCCCATGATCCCAAGAGAAGAATGGAGGAGAAGGGATTGTGGTGTGGCCATCCCCCCTGGGGGGTGATTTCTCGCTTTCTGTCTCTCTGTCTTTCTCTGTCTTTCTGCCAAGTGCACATGCCCTATAGCAAAAACCTCTCAAAAAAAAAATAAATAAATAAAAGAATAAGCTTCCCTGGCCAGATGGCCTTCCTCTCTTTGCCAGTGACAAACTAGAGGAGTTTGGGTTGGTAGCTAAGGGGTAGCACTGTGTCATGGATGCCCCTGGGCAATGCAGACCTCTACCCTCACTTGGCTCAGGTGACAGTGAGGAAGTTAGGAAGAAGGTGTGGAGTCTGGTGAGGGTGACCGGGCAGGCTGGAGTGCCTGCTGCAAAGGGAGATGTTTTAGGGCGGGGAGAGGAGTAGGGCACCCAGATGCCTATTCTGAGCCACGAGAATGTTACCATGTGAACTGAGTTAAAAGTCTCTGGTGGTGATCTCTGGGTTCCTATTGATCATCTTCATCCTGTTCAAGTTCTAGTTGGGCCATTTTCTCTAAAGATCTGGTCCAGTCCTCTGGGGTTAGCTGATTTTTGTAATTGCTACACGTTACTGTTTTTCTTTTCTTGGACAGGAAAGATAATTTGGATTTTCTCATTCTTAAACAAATTTTGCAAATCTGCTTTACCTGACATCTGACAAAATGTTAAAAATAATGATGATTTTTCCTAACAAATTAGAATTTGCTCGGTAGGAGGTTTTATGTTGTCTCAGTTGACTACTACGATGTGGAGCCTCCTTAGACTGCCCTAAAGTCAGTGTGGGTGACCTTTGCCTTGTTTTACCTGGGAGCTAGTGAGGGGGGTATGAGAAAGAGAGATGAAGAAGATACGCAGAGCAATCGTGTGGAAATGGAAGGGAGCTGCTTAGTGTGGTGCCTGGAGGGGAGGGACATCTTGCATTTTCCTTGTCTTTCCAAGGGCCATAAGATTGACCAGGCTTTACTTCTGGGGAGCATCAGTATGTCACCTTCCTCTAATGCTTTTATAACCTTTTATATTCCACGGCATTAGCTGAGAGTTGAATCCAGCACTGATTTTCTCTCTAGGACAGAAACTACCTGAATTCTCAGACCTAGAAACTCTGCAATGGAGCCCATCCTTTTTGCATCTTGCTGCAGGGGAATCTCATTTGTCATAAATCTCATGGATATAAGAGTCACCACCCTGTAGTTTTTTTTTTTTTTGGTATAGACACCAATGGACATCACCTCTTAATATTTCTAACTCCAACAGAGACTGTGACTTGATGTTCTGATTGAGGTGAGGATGGCAAGAATAGGAGAATGAAAACATGCAAGAGACTTACTTTTATAAATATAGAAACTACCACCAATCCATTTGGACTCTTTGCAGCCTCTGTGACATTTGTATATAACTCATGGTTATAGTGGATGAGCTGCACCTGGCAGGAGGAAAAGAAATAAGAATAAGAACAAACAATCCAGCTTTAAAAGGGAGGAGGCACAGCACATGTCTCTACATAAAGGCGACCTACAAAGCACACCGAAGAATGATCGGAAAGATAATCTTAATTGAAAGGATTTCAGATGGATATTTAAGTGTGTGTACATGTGTAAAATGCATGCGCATGTACACAGTGATACACACACATACAAAAATACCCATGCATATTTGCAAATGTTTTCTGGTAACACTAATGCTTTTAATAAGCTCAGTTTCCATCTGGCTCTGGCTCTGTGCCAGGACATTTCCCCTAACGTGAGCGTAAAGTGAATTTTCCTTATTAGGAGAGGAACTGCCCTGTCGGGGTAGACATACTCTCCCTGCTGTACCAATAGCTGCCACTGGCAGACAGTGAATTTTCCTCACAGCCTCGGGGCAAGCTGGGAGTTGCTAGGACCTGAGTCAGCCCGGTGAGGTTGAGAGGTGGCTAGGCAACCTGCAAGATGCTGTGGTATTGTCGGAGAGAGCGCTAACGGCTTAGGTTCCTGATGCTCCAGTCTGCCAGGTCATCTGGTTGTGTAGAACTTCACTCCCTGCTCCTTAGTGAGTACAAGCAATCTGTCTATTGAGCCCTTGTGAAAAAGGCAGTGTGGGGATCAAAAGGAGCCCTGGACTTGGACTCCAGTAATCCAGGTTTTCCCTCTGGTACTCAATATTTTTAAAAAGTTAATTTATTTATTTCTTCCATAATATAGAGAAAGAGGAGAGAAAGCGCGTGCGAGAGAGAGAGAGTGAGAGAACGAGAACCAGAGTGTTCACCTCCATGTATCCCCAGGCTTGGCCAGCCTGCATCATGAGCACACTTCACCTGGTATCCTCAGGACCTCTCCGATGTGGGTCCAGTTATGTTACCACTGTACCATCACCTGGCCCTGCTATTTGTTTTTTAAAAGCACTTTTAAAATTTTGAAATACACACACACACATATATATATATATTCAAACAAATGCTCCACCGACTTTAGCCGTGTGATCGAGGTCCTTCCCATTACCAAGAATCAATTGCTTCCTGTGGAAGATGGGAATGATCATTTCTCCTTGGAATACATTTCAGGGCTATGGTTTTACATGATTCTTTTAATAGTACAAAGTATATTTTTGTAACAAATAAAAAAACACTGAAGTAAAAAAATAAATGATAATTCCTTTCCACCTCTATCTAATCCTGGTCTACGTGATGTGACTATTATTAACTATTTAGTGAATGTCCTTCCAGACATTTTGAGTGTGCCTGTATCCCTCTCTCTCACACACACATATGCAAATGTAGGGTTTAGAAACAATAGAAATGGAGTCATTTGCAGTCATGATTCTGACTTGGTTTATAAAAATGAAAGTATAGTTTGTGACTATCTTTTTAAGTCAATACATACAGATCCACCTCATTTTTAACCATAATCTTACTGGCTTTCCAGTTGTTCCTATTAAAAAAATTTTTTTTCAGGGACTGGCAGATGGCGTAATCGTTACGTTGCTAGACTCCCACATAGTCAGTGGAAGTTCAAGTCTCAGACCAGGCAACTTAAAACATTGCATGTGTGCCCAAGACCCCAAGAGGATAATGGAGGAGAAGGGGTTGCAGTGTGGCTATCGTCCCTGGGGGATGATTTCTCTCTTTCTGTCTCTCTGTCTGGTGAGTGCATATGCCCTATAGCAAAAATCTCTCTAAAATTTTTTTCAGATTAATTTCACATTTTACATAAAGTCTCCATCATGATGTATACTGTGTGTGTGTATATATATAATCTTTTTTCTCGACAGAACTTAACCTTTTTTGTCTGTTAAATGTTTCTTCCTTTGCACCTCACACTCATGTTTCCATTTTTTAATCTCTTATAAACAATGTCACAGCAAGAACATCATATATCTTTCTGTAATGGTGTTAGCAATTTCAGAGGCTGATTTGAGAATCTAATAAGGTAGCACATGTTAAAGTGATTTGTGACTCTGAAACTATACGAGTATTCATTATTGCCAATATCCTGTATTGCATTAAAAAAGGAAGTGAAGTTTTAGAAGTTGATAAAGGCAGTATTTAAAACGTTGCTTTTTCTTGAAATTTGAAAAAAAAATAACTTCCACACAGTGGTTTGCAATCTTCCCTGTGCATTCTGATCACGTGATCACCTGGGACCTTTCAAAGCCTGTCTCTGCCTGCCTGTCCCATATCCAATTCTGATTGATTGATTTGGGGGAGAAACTGGAACTGGTATATATATTAAAACCTCTCCAGCTAGATGGGAGCTGAACTCAAGAACCACTTGAGATAATCAATGAGCATCAATATCCCATCAACACTTACTCCAATGAGAACCTGAGAATGTCTTGGATATCCTGAGTCGGGCAATTCTCATGGACGGAACACATCTCACTGCTGTTGTGGAAATACTCTATTTGCTTTTTACTTTTCACTTACAGTGAGTTTTGCCACTGGAGATAGTTGCACAACAGCTTTCTACAGTCAGAGAGTAACCAGGGCAGGGGTTGGTGAATGTTCTGTGTCCAGGACTCTATAAGGCCCTTGTTTGTCCTCTCTGAATTTTCACAGGTAGAGAAGTGTTGCCATGGGGAAGAACTAGCTGTGGGTTCTCACACACTCAACACACGCCTTTTACAGTGTTGAGTAAGCTTCACAATAAAAAGAAAACATGTTCTACCATCTGATAAGATCTTTCTGCCTGATCCAGGGGACCTACAAAACCACCTGGGGATGTGCCAGTGGGCCCAGACATGCCTTCAGTTGTAGCATGTCCTTAACGCTAGAGCAAGGAAGTGGAAGGTATTCAGTGGAGTGGTGCTTCTTGCAACATGCCAGCCAACAAAAAAGGCATGAAGAAGTCTCCTAGGCTAGGTACTGCCCCATAGGGTGAGATTCTGTCAGGGGCTGGAGCTGTGAGAAAGGGGTAGGTGAGCATAGGAGTGAGGCCATGATTTTCTTTAAACTTAAGTCAACACATTTAGAATTTTGATATGAAGTCTTGCCTCCTCTTTGTTCTAAGGTGAGTTGGCGAGGATTCTGATATCATGAGCTTTGGTTTCTATTAGGAGTTGGTTGATGGACTGCCCTCTGTGTTAGGTTGAACCACATGAAATAGACTTTGTGATATATAAAAATGGTAATTTTATAGAGTTAATGTGTGCTTAAGCTAAAGTTATTTTGCAGATAGCATTTTCTTCCTGGTTTCTTCTTCTTTCAACCTGACCTTAATAAGATGACATAGAATTTCCCCATACAATGTGTGGTCCAGGGACCAGGAATAACCACAACATCTTGGAGCTTGTTAGAAATACAGAATATGGGAGCAGCAGCTAGTGTAATGGCTACGTTGCTGAACTCCCATGTAGTTGACTGTAGTTTGAGTCCCGGACCTGGTGGCTTAAAACTCATGCCAGGCCTGTGTGCATGTGTGTCCAAGATCCTGAGAGGAGAATGGAGGAGAAGAGATTGTGGCATGGCCATCCCCCCTGGGGGGTGATTTCTTGCTTTCTCTCTCTCGGTCTCTCTCTGTGTGTCTGGTGAACACACACACCCTATAGCAAAAACCTCTCAAAAAAAAAATTACAGAATATGGAACCCCAGACCTTCACATATATATTACAGTTTGAGAAACCTGTTTAGCAGATACTGTTGGCTGGTTAGCAGAATCCTATTATGTCTGGCTTCTTTGTTTTAGTTTGGCTGGTTGAAGAGGGAAATGCTTCACTTATATTTACTGAGTCCGATCATAGGAGACCTGGAATATCAGCTATGGAAGGGCTTTGAGGAGTGGACTCAGAGCCTCAGCATGGACTGTAACAGGGCAGACTAGGGAGGGTACAGTTGCAGGTGGTGACCATTCAGGCAGAGACGTATTCTATAACTTATGTGGCACTTGCTTGAGCCTTATGTTCTCAACTCAAAGATGTTGCATCACCTCAGTCCTTTACATGGATCTGGAATTTATCTATTTAAAAAAAAATCATGAAAACTAACTATATGCTGAGGTCAGTTGGGATAAGATTGATAAAGTCATTGGTCTCTTAGAGATGGCTTCAGATAGTGGCAAGTATTTTGAAAGAAACACAAGATTTTAGCTCACAAAGTGAAGGCAGTAGTGGAAAGAAGGAGAGTTGGTTTGCAGAAGTGGAAGTAACATCTCCTTGTGTGGTTGGTGAAGGTCTCTTGGGAAAGGTGGCTTTGGAATTGAGTTCTAATGATGAAGAAGAACTGGGCTTAGGGAGATCAAAGGAAAGCACATTGCTGGCAGAGAGAACAATCATTGCATAGGGTCTGAGGTAGGAATAAGTAGCTGAGAATGGCAGGGGAAAGGTGAAGGGAGCCCAAGCTGAGACCAGCTTATGCAGGGCTTCGTAGGCCATGGTGAGGAGCTTTGATTTTTATCCCGAATGCAACAGGAAGTCACTGGCGTTCTGGAATAATTGGTTGATTTGATGTGCATTTTTGAAATATCTGTCTATTGCGAAGCACAAAGCAGAGACAGAGGAGGCCTTGCCTACTGATCTTTATCTCATGGCTCAGCTCTGTCCTCATCTTCTCTAGGACAGTCCCTGTGAGCCACTGGGAGTTGAGCATCAAGCTCTTTGCTTCCAGGACACTTTTGTCCAGGAAGCAAATTTGCAATAGTTAATTTTATGTGTCAACCTGACTGGGTGGGCTGGTAAAACATTATTTTGGTGTGTCTGTGAGGGTGTTTCTGGAAAAGATTAGCATCTGAATAAGTAGACTGAGTAAAGAAGATCTGCCCTCACCAATGTGGGTGGGAAATTCCTCATCTGCTGGGGGCCAATAATACAGGAAGAGTGAATTCACTTTCTTCTTTAGCTGGGATATTCACTTTTTCTTCCCCTTGGAGTAACCAGAGCTCCTGGTTCTTGGATCTTTGGATTTCAACTCCAAGACTTAGACCAGTGAGAGCCTCTTTACCTCCACAGTTCTCA